TTGGTCATAAACATTGCGGTCAATACGATGATTTAGACATTTGAGGAATACAATATTCTACGAGCCCGAAAGGGGGGTGAATGTTGCATGTACTTCGAAGGTGGCTAAATCATTATATTGACCGAAAGAACAGCAATAATTTTTTTCATTATATGATTCCATTTTTAAATGATACAAATTCATTAAAGGGGCTTGGACACAGGTTCAGCTAAAATTTCAAAATTTATTTTTCCATTTTTACAAATGTTTAACTAGGGTCTTTGTAATGATCATCAAAAATTTGAACATCAGTTGTCGAGATACAAGATAGATTTAGAGCTCCAAACCTTTGTTATGTAAACAAGGTCCGTGTCATGTCTTTGTTTTCATAGGTTAATATACTACTATATGTTCATTCAAAGTGAATAATTTCAATAAAGAGGTTAAATGTAAATACGATTCGACAGTTTCTATTGATTTGCTAAATTTCATTTTGTTATAAATATATTTTCTATATGTAAACAAAAGCAAGAAACGTTTACATTTTGGAGAACCTTAAGTTCTGCATCTCGTTTGTTAATCAACAAAAGATGTTCAAATTTTTGTTATTCATTAGATGAGGACTTAGGTAGGAATTGTAAACATTAAAATTGGTTTAAAAAATTCAGTTGAAACTGTGTCCATGCCCCTTTAAAGAGACACCGTGACGCACAAAGGGGAAAATTGACAAATGTAGAATTTTAGCATGACCCGAAATTTTGTTCAATTCCTAAAAGTTTTCGGTTTCAGGAAATTACATGATTCAGAACCTAAAAAAATCTATTTCTATTTAGAAAAATAATTTCAGTATGCCCCATGACGAAAATATTTTTTTACTTTTTCCTCCCTATTGAACGCATGCGCAGAAAAGTTGAATAAGTTTCCATAGTCACCATGGTCTCAAGTACCCAAGAGTGAACGTAAGTAGACCAAATATTTTGATGCAATCATTTCAAAAAGTTGTTAGAACATATTTCTTACATTTGCATGCTCCAGTTGAATGTTGTTTACAATTCCAAGTTTGAGCTAAAAATAAAAGTGGCATGACCTTAACACAAACGAAAACAACGAAACGGCAGATACAACTTTGTGCAGTCTTCTCTTTCTTTACAGTGCAGTTTAATTGTCATATCTTTGCTACATACTCATAATTTTCATCAGTCTTTTCTCTGTTTGCTAGAGAAACACCAATTTTGGCTCATCTTGTACCTTTAAACAATTAAATTGATGAAAATTAGCTTGTTTACACATTACATTAACCTGGAAGGTGATGTGTAAGTGAATTTATTAAAAATACATGTTTATATAGAATTATATTTTCCTCTAAGGTGTAGGTTATTGTCGCTGTGATGCAGTGGGGACTGAGAATGGAACTTCCAAGTGTAAGATGCACCAGTACGGAACCCTGACTCTCTCCCTGTGTGATTGTAAGGAGGGCTACTCAGGGATGTACTGTCAGATCTGTAGACCGGGCTTTTACCGCCTGACTCCCGACAAGCCCTGCTTCAGGTGTCCCTGTGAACCAGAAAAGAGTGATGGAAATTGTCATTTCGGTAAGCAACAAACTTTTGTGAAAGTAATATAATTTTTTTTTATTCTTGCTTGGCAGTACATTAATGTATTTTCAAAGATATTAAATGTTATTACTTTTATTTAGCTGTCCTGGAGGCAGTGTCAAAGTTAAATTTGCTTTTTTTTTAAAAAAAAAAAAAGAGTTGAATAGCTTTTAATGTACAGGAAAAAAGTTAAAGTGAAACCGTATTCATTTAAAAAAAAATTAAACTGAACTTTTTCTGTGTCTCTTAAACAAAAATTATTGAATTGCATGTGACAGGTGTATAATTTTGCTTCAGAGGAGGGGTACCTGTTTTGTAACACCTGTAAGGAGGGATACGGAGGCAATTTGTGTCAGGCCTGTGCTGTGGGTTACTATATGCCTAAAATGAGCAGAAGATGTACCCAGTGCAACTGCCATGGAAACGCAAAGTTCTGTCAAGAGAGCACAGGTAGTGTACAGAATAGAGAGTTTAACGAGAGTATATAACTGTGTTTTCTGTTACGTGTTTGCTATACCCCGACACATATCCTTCTATAAATTCTAAGTCAACTGCTACCCAGAGTTAAATCTTCTCTATGTGCAGAGCTGAATATATATATATATATATATATATATATATATATATATATATATATATATATATATATATATATATATATATATATATATATATATATATATATATATATATATATATATATATATATATATATATATATATATATAAGCATACATTTATACACTATAGTACATGTATAATATATTCAAAGCTTCAGCACTGTATTGACATGCAATAAAACCGTATTTACTGCTACCTTAACTTACTTGTTTTTATTTGATAAATTTTCAACATCAATACATGTATCTGATAGTGAAGTACCAGTACATGTAATTGAATTAGTAACATTTATCAGTTCTTTTCCGAGACAGAACTAGCTGACACAGTTGGTGAAGAAATTATAATGTTACTCTGATTAAAATGACTTAATATACTTGACCTGATACATGTATACTTCCGTATGTTTTTTAGGAGAATGCATTGGCTGTATGAACCACACAGCAGGGTTCAATTGTAAAAGGTGTGCTCATGGGTATGTCGGTAATGCTCAGGGTCATAAACATCCAAAGTGTGTAGATCCATCAGGTAAGTCAGCATCCTTAACCCAGGTTTTAGTGAAATGCTTTCTCTATGATGCTCTTAAGTTTTGAGAAAAAAGTTTTGTGTTAAGTATGATAGAAACAGCTATTAAAAATAACATTTATGTTTGATATTATTTTATAAGAATGCAAGCATTTTTACATAGTTCTTGTCCATTAAAGATGTACTTTTTTTCTCTAACAACTGCATTCTGCCATTTCAAATAAAAAGTTTATATAAGATACTTACATTTTCTCTTCCTGATGGAAACAAAGGATTTTCAGATAAAATATTTTTTGTAGAACTTCGAATGCAGGAGGAGAAAGGTTCCCTGAGTTCTGGAGTGATGGCAGGAATCTGTGTGTGCGTCATCAGTTTCATCGGAATCATCGCCGGAATCATTATCTACAAGCGATGCTGGATCTACCCAGCAGCCCGGCCGTTCTGGACTGTGGAGCTTAAAGATGATCACGAAGGCATCGACTTCAGCAGCGTGCCTGAAGACGAGATGGTGGCCATCACAGCCCGAGAGGAGGAGGAGTTTTACAGAGACCAGAGTGGGAGGACAAGTAAATCACGCTCACAGCCGTACTCACAACTTAGAGAGGACATCTGATTACCTCAGAGGACAAAGTAGAGGACCTCAGATTCTATTACATTAGAGGACATCACACATTCTAAGAACAAAAGGCAAGAGAATTCAGTGGTTGTAGACAAGAAAAGCTTACTCTTATCTAACTTTCTGATGTAGCTAGTTCAATGAATATATGAAAGGTAGCTTGCATTTATTTGTCAGGCAGATATATAAAGGCATAGTTTAATGCATTATCAAGCTGCAAGCTTTTTTTTTTCACCCAAATATATTGCCACTTTATATATACATTTGTGCTAAAAATATTATCGTTGAAGAGTCAGTAATACCTGATTTTATAAATATTGTGACTTTGCCTGTTAGGGCTTTGCTTTTTAAGAAAATCTGACAATTAGTATATAAGAAGTTATTCTAGCTATCAGTAGTTATTAGAATTGCTTGCTGTTACTGCCTTAATGAGTGTGCCTTTACACTGTTGTGAGTTCAAGTCCCGCACCTCAGATCTCCAGATTTCCGCATTATTCCGCATTTTTTCCTCATTTTAATATGGAAAAAATGTGGAAAAAAATACGGAGAAAATTAACAATATGGAAAAGCAGAAAATATACGGAAATAATACGGAAAATAAACGGAAATAATACGGAGAATTGGACTTAGTCTATTTTTCATCTGGAAAAATATTGAACTCTTAACTTAGAATATTTTTCATCCGGAAAAAATACGGAGCTCTGGACTTAGAATTTTTTCATCAAGAACAAGATGTGTTTGTGAGACACAGTAGCACCTGGCAGCAACATTAAGTTCTAAAAAGCAATTTTTAGCAAATGGGTCTCAGTCAAGGTCACACAATCATTGTTCTTGGTGTCATATGAAAGCACTTTATTAGTGTAGTATGCATACCAAATATTAAGTCTCTATCATCTATGGTTCAAAAGTTATGGCGAAAATTTGAAAAAGCTATATTTAGCACATAGGTCACAGTCAAGGTCACAAGGTCATTGATCTTGGTGTCAGTTGAAGGTGCCTAATTAGTGGAGTATGCATACCAAATATGAAGTCTCTATCTCTCACGGTTTTAAAGTTATGGCGATAGTTCGAAAAAGCTATTTTTAGCATATAGGTCACAGTCAAGGTCACTGACCTTGGTGTCAGTTGAAAGTGCCTAATTAGTGGAGTATGCATACCAAATTTAATATGAAGTCTCTATCTCTCACCGTTCAGAATTTATGGCGAAAGTTCCAAAAAGCTATTTTTAGCATAAAGGTCACAGTCATGGCCACAAGGTCATTGACCTTGGTGTCAGTTGAAAGTGCCTAATTAGTGGAGTATGCATACCAAATATGAAGTCTCTATCTCTCACGGTTCAGAAGTTATGGCGAAAGTTCGAAAAAGCTATTTTTAGCATAAAGGGCACAATCAAGGTCATAAGGTCATTGACCTTGGTGTCAGTTGAAAGTGTTTTTGAAGTGAAGTATCCATACCAAATATGAAGTCTCTAAGTCTCACGGTTCAAAAGTTATGGCGAAGGTTAAAGTTGACAACAGACAAACAAACAGACAGACATACAGCTAAACAGACAGACAGGACAAAAACAATATGCGCCCCAAAAAAATTTGGGTGCATAAAAACTGTCTTGGAGTTAACAGCAGTTCTCTGTTTCTCCTGAATGTTATGAACAATTTGATCGGGATCGGAAGAATGTTTCAAAAAGTCGGGCTCAGTGATCAATTAATTTAAACAACAGACCGCCAAAATTTAACCTTGGCCTCCATGTTGCAACGTCTGCTCTGTCTAAAGGAGGAAGTTTGTTGACCAGACAGCCTGAGATCGTATTGCTGTATCAACCAAAAGATGCAGATACACGTATTTCATATGCGGTAGGTCAGTCATATTTTTTTTAACATGTGTGTCACTGTGATGATGAAAATAAATACTCTAGGCGGCTAGGGCCTAGGACTGAGCTACCAGGTGACGTACGTTTCAGCCAATATGCCCATGATTCAAATCTTTCAATCAGCTCATAGAATTTTATTATGGTTAACCACAATTAAAGGTGTTAATTTTGGGGAGCCATGGGCTGTAATCTCTAGCAATGATTTACCATACATTTTTTTTTTTGGTAGCGTCTGTGCATGAGGAGATTTCTGAAAAAGAATAAGTGCTTGTTCAACTTACTGCGATTTTAACGGGCTTAAAGCTTGGTCCATGGATGGTTATGTTTGAGGTATATATATTCTTTTTTTTTCTTTTTTTATTGCTTGTTTAATAATTAAAAACAGTCAACTATGATTGTCATTATTATAAATAATATTTTAAACAAATTGATATTAAATTGAAGAACCCAAACTTGTGTTTATAAAAAGATTTTAAAAGGAATAAAAGCAATGAATTTAAATTTTATTAATATTGCACCATTATAATTTAAGTACTTTTTTTTTAATTGATAGGATTTGCCAATTCGACCGCAAGTGCTGCTGCAAGAAATTATTAAAACATGCAGAGACCTTACAAATTACAAAGAAGTCTGAAGAAAATTTTTATTGGACAGATGGGTGTAAAGCACAGACCTGAGATATAAATTGAATTGTGAGAAATATGAATCAGGGATGCAGGTAGAAAATGGCAAATGTGATCCAGATTGATAAAAAATGTCTAAAAATTTTTCTTGTTTTGTAAATATTCAATGCTATGTCAATTGTTATTTTTTCCCAAATATCTAATAGTGTTGAACATTTCACTCCCACTTTTGCTTAAATAGAATGAATAAATTTCCATTTATTTAATATGAATATTAAAAAATGCCACATTTTTTCCATGATGAACTTGTGGCTTAAATAAGAGTTCCAGTTTTTTTTCCATACATGCTCCTATTTGTTTGTCAAAGATATAAGATCCAATACATTGCTCATGAACATAATGTGTAATTTTGTTCATTCATTTATATCTTTTTTTCTCATAATGATATAATAAATTGTATATAATTTTGCACATTGTTGATGGTTTTGTAAATATTTATGTATGTATGCATCATGTAGCGGTTTTACTAGCCATTTTATAACCATGTGATTAACTCCGTATTTTCTCCAGATTTCCGTATTTCCGCATTTTATCAACCAAGTAAATACCTCCATATTTTGTATAAATGGAAATGCGGAAATCTGGAGAGAATACGGAAAAAGAGTCCAAATACTCCCATCCACATTTTCTCCAAATTTTGAATACGGAGAAAATCTGGAAATTTGAATCTACGAAAATCTGGAATGAATGCGGAAAATTAGTCCAAATACTCCCGTCCGCATTTTTTCCTTATTTTGAATAAGGAAAAAATGTGGAGATCTGAGGTGCGGGGTAGATCTGGTTTTAAGTTAAAATCTGATATAAAAAATATATTGAGAATGTTAGTGACAGATATAAATTGCATTGCATCATCGGGTATTGTGGTTAAAACATAATAACACAGAGTTTAAATTCCTATCATAGCTTTTTCTGTAGAAAAACAATTTTCTATGGGAAAAAAGAAATTAAAGTAATTTTTATATACCTTAATAGAAGGCAAATAAGATAGAGTATCGTTGATACGTTATAAATTTTAAGAGTTATCTCTCTTACCAGAGAAACCAGTGTAGTGGCAGTGCAGATTAAAGATGTTATGTTTACGAGACATAATCAAACAATGATATTTTTTTGTTTTACTATGTTAATCAAGGTATGAGGGATACTATATATACTATAACTTTGTAGGTCTATAACCCATGGATATAGTCATATATTTTAGCGAATTTATAGGGTATCTGTGTAGCTAAGAACAGAGTACATGTAAGTGCTTGTTTGATGCAATTATTTATTCATATTCTTGAAATTGTTGGGATTTTTCCTTCCGTTTTCCAGTGATATACATGTACAAGGATAAATCAACAAGGCTACATGTACATATTTTTTCTGTTGTTATTTACATTTAAAAATTTATAATAGGAATACCTATTGATTTGCATATCATGATTTATTTTTATTTTTAGTGTAAACATATCAGTTCTAATTAATAATTCACTACATTGTTTTATGTAGCATATTGAAGAATATACATGAATTGTTGACTTTCCTGTATGTTGCAAATCATGCATTTGTAAATGTTTTACACAAATCAGTACGGTAGAATATAGATTTGACAGTAAATATTGGTCTCAGTTTCAGATTGTACAATCTAGTCAGTTGTCCTTTTGCCTCATGTCCTTGCAATTTTTTCAAGCTCAATTAGTTATGACACAGATTTTTATAGAAAAATATTAGGACAATGTTTTTAAAAATATTCTTAAAAATGACACAAACTTCTGACATGTGAATAAATTGTACAGTTAAATTATGTCATACTTCCTGAGTACTTTCAATCATAAGATGGCATTTAAGATGGAAAGGATGGGTGTTAGTCTATGTTTGTATATAATTGTGGATGGTTGCTTGCTGCGTATAAATCAAAAGATGTTTCAGTAGAATTATTAACGTCTGTTCTGATTTTTTTAATACGTAAATGGGGACCAATATATGATGGGACAATTTTAACGATTTATTTATGATTGTTTTTCAAAGTTTACTTATAATTGTTGTACTTTTTACATGAAAATGTGTTTTCTTTTGAATTGGTCTTTTTAAATGTTAAGTAAAGGTGTATATTTTTTTCATTTTCATATAAAAAAGTTATCACTTTTTACATGAAAATGTATATTCTTTTTAATTGATCTTTTTAAATGTTAAGTAATGGGGTGCATATTTTTTTCATATAAAAAAATATCACTGGCACAGGCATATGGACCTGAGCACATACATGTGGGTTTTTTTCTGAAAAAAAAATCATCATTAATCTTTTTTCAGTAGATACTTTAAAATAATGTTCTTGAATATTACAACAACAAATAAATTACATGAAAACTCAGATATCTTTCAAATTATACCCCAGAATGATTTTCTCTTGTCATCCACACATGACATTTACTAAAGAGGGGAGGTAATTTTGATATAAATTATTTTATTTTTTTTGGTAATAATTAATCGCTGCTGTTATAATTGTAGTTGCTACTTGCTACATATTTAGGAATATTGCCACAGATGAAGAATGATACTAATTCTTGTAAGATTTAATGTGCTGTGAAAATATCTATACTAAAGACCTTCCCGCACCTCAGATCTCCACATTTTTTCCTTATTCAAAATAAGGAAAAAATGCGGACGGGAGTATTTGGACTAATTTTCCGCATTCATTCCAGATTTTCGTAGATTCAAATTTCCAGATTTTCTCCGTATTCAAAATATGGAGAAAATGTGGATGGGAGTATTTGGACTCTTTTTCCGTATTCTCTCCAGATTTCCGCATTTCCATATATACAAAATATGGAGGTATTTACTTGGTTGATAAAATGCGGAAATACGGAAATCTGGAGAAAATACGGAGTTAATCACATGGTTATAAAATGGCTAATAAAACCGCTACATGATGCATACATACATAGATTTTTTACAAAACCATCAACAATGTGCAAAATTATATACAATTTATTATATCATTATGAGAAAAAAACATATAAATGAATGAACAAAATTACACATTATGTTCATGAGCAATGTATTGGATCTTATATCTTTGACAAACAAATAGGAGCATGTATGGAAAAAAACTGGAACTCTTATTTAAGCCACAAGTTCATCATGGAAAAAATGTGGCATTTTTTAATATTCATATTAAATAAATGGAAATCTATTCATTCTATTTAAGCAAAAGTGGGAGTGAAATGTTCAACACTATTAGGTATTGGGGAAAAAATAACAATTGACATACATTTGTAGCATTGAATATTTACAAAACAAGAAAAATTTTTAGACATTTTTTATCAATCTGGATCACATTTGCCATTTTCTACCTGCATCCCTGATTCATATTTCTCACAATTCAATTTATATCTTAGGTCTGTGCTTTACACCCATCTGTCCAATAAAAATTTTCTTCAGACTTCTTTGTAATTTGTAAGGTCTCTGCATGTTTAATTTCTTGCAGCAGCACTTGCGGTCGAATTGGCAAATCCTATCAATTAAAAAAAAAGTACTTAAATTATAATGGTGCAATATTAATAAAATTTAAATTCATTGCTTTTATTCCTTTTAAAATCTTTTTATAAACACAAGTTTGGGTTCTTCAATTTAATATCAATTTGTTTAAAATATTATTTATAATAATGACAATCATAGCTAGTTGACTGTTTTTAATTAAACAAGCAATAAAAAAAAGAAAAAAAAAGAATATATATACCTCAAACTTAACCATCCATGGACCAAGCTTTAAGCCCGTTAAAATCGCAGTAAGTTGAATAAGCACTTATTCTTTTTCAGAAATCTCCTCCTCATGCACAGACGCTACCAAAAAAAAAAAGTATGGTAAATCATTGCTAGAGATTACACCCCATGGCTCCCCAAAATTAACACCTTTAATTGTGGTTAACCATAATAAAATTCTATGAGCTGATTGAAAGATTTGAATCATGGGCATATTGGCTGAAACGTACGTCACCTGGTAGCTCAGCCCTAGGCCTAGAGTATTTATTTTCATCATCACAGTGACACACATGTTAAAAAAAATATGACTGACCTACCGCATATGAAATACGTGTATCTGCATCTTTTGGTTGATACAGCAATACGATCTCAGGCTGTCTGGTCAACAAACTTCTTCCTTTAGACAGAGCAGACGTTGCAACATGGAGGCCAAGGTTAAATTTTGGCGGTCTGTTGTTTAAATTAATTGATCACTGAGCCCGACTTTTTGAAACATTCTTCCGATCCCGATCAAATTGTACATAACATTCAGGAGAAACAGAGAACTGCTGTTAACTCCAAGACAGTTTTTATGCACCCAAATTTTTTCGGGGCGCATATTGTTTTTGTCCTGTCTGTCTGTTTAGCTGTATGTCTGTCTGTTTGTTTGTCTGTTGTCAACTTTAACCTTCGCCATAACTTTTGAACTGTGAGACTTAGAGACTTCATATTTGGTATGGATACTCCACTACAAAAACACTTTCAACTGACACCAAGGTCAATGACCTTATGACCTTGATTGTGACCTTTATGCTAAAATTAGCTTTTTCGAACTTTTGCCATAACTTCTGAACCGTGAGAGATAGAGACTTCATATTTGGTATGCATACTCCACTAATTAGGCACTTTCAACTGACACCAAGGTCAATGACCTTGTGACCATGACTGTGACCTTTATGCTAAAAATAGCTTTTTGGAACTTTCGCCATAACTTCTGAACGGTGAGAGATAGAGACTTCATATTTGGTATGCATACTCCACTAATTAGGCACTTTCAACCGACACCAAGGTCAGTGACCTTGACTGTGACCTATATGCTAAAAATAGCTTTTTCGAACTATCGCCATAACTTTAAAACCGTGAGAGATAGAGACTTCATATTTGGTATGCATACTCCACTAATTAGGCACCTTCAACTGACACCAAGATCAATGACCTCGTGACCTTGATTGTGACCTATGTGCTAAATATAGCTTTTTTCGAATTTTCGCCATAACTTTTGAACCATAGATGATAGAGACTTACTATTTGGTATGCATACTACACTAATAAAGTGCTTTCAAATGACACCAAGAACAATGATTGTGTGACCTTGACTGAGACCCATTTGCTAAAAATTGCTTTTTAGAACTTAATGTTGCCGCCAGGTGCTACTGTGTCTCACAAACACATCTTGTTCTTGATGAAAAAATTCTAAGTCCAGAGCTCCGTATTTTTTCCGGATGAAAAATATTCTAAGTTAAGAGTTCAATATTTTTCCAGATGAAAAATAGACTAAGTCCAATTCTCCATATTATTTCCGTTTATTTTCCGGATTATTTCCGTATATTTTCTGCTTTTCCGTATTGTTAATTTTCTCCGTATTTTTTTCCACATTTTTTCCATATTAAAATGAGGAAAAAATGCGG